GGATGCACGCCGCTTACCTGAGGAAGAGAGGGCACCAGGATGCACTATGGGAAGAAGCCAAATCAGTGGAGGCATATGGAATAGGGGGGCTAGCAACCAAAAGTCAATATAAACTTTATTATACAATCATCTTTAGGTCTGCTGTTCAAACCCAGGTGTGAGGAATCTTCAGCCAATCAGTCATATAATTATTAATCTAATTAGGGAGTGGCAGCAAAATCCCACAAACCCGATGGCCCATTCTGGATAAGATTGCCCACCCCTGTCTTAGATTATCATGTTATCAACATGGCTGAATGCTTCCAGGAAGAGCTGATTGAGCAGGTCAGAAATTACCATCGTCTTTATGGTGTGAAGACCCCTCTCCGTAGTAATAAACATCAATGTCAGAACAGCTGGCATCAAACCGCCAGCTCGTTGAAAGTGGATGTGGAGACAAGCAGGAAGAAATGGAAGCAGATTTGAGATACGTGGGTGGAAAGCAGAAAATGGCCAAGAGAAGAAGTGAGAATTTGGCCGAAGCTGCTTTGCCCTGAAATCGTCAAACGTCTTGCATGACTGCAAAACTGTGTCACCCATCCTCCAACCTACACAAACCTCAGGACTGAGGTGAGTGCAGAAGCATCATGTTTAACCCTTAGAACCCGTCAAATCGCACAAATTAATCTCAGGCTCATAACTTTGGATAGGTATAATACACAGGCATGAATCACATATCGTTTGCCTTTGTATTTAAAGTGCCTGCCAATTTTTATATTAAGTAAGACTAAAAATTGGGAAATTTCAATATGCGCAAATAGTTTATTCTCATAAAAATGATGATATCAAGACTGAATCAGCATTTATACATCAAATTATGACATATCTGAATAGCCCAGAATGTGCTGAAAACAAAAATATACAGCTGACTCATGCGTGCCAAAGCAGCAGGTTTGTGTAAAGAAATTGTATTGTTGCCTATGGAACAATTTTTAATTTTTTCTTTGTTACTGGAGCAAAGTATGGATGGAGTAAAATTAACACTTGCAGGTGATCTGTGGTTTTTATTTGGTCTTTGGTTATTTTTTGAAACTGAAATTTTCTGTTTGAAATTAAACCATATTATATGGAATTAATTTTGTGCCAAAAGTATTAAACAAAATTTTGAAAAATGCAAGTAAATTATTAAGTATCAGAATGAAAATATACATTGCAAATGTATTTTAAAGATTTAATTAAATATTTTTTTGTGTTTTTTGTCTTGTTTTTGGAATGTTTTATGCTTCTGGAATTTTATTTTGCTTCTGAATTCTGGCACTTTGTTAACAGGTTGGCGCCTTTGAGGGGGGTGTACACCTTAAAGGTCTATTGGTCAACTGGGATTTAGAGCAAAAACTCCTTTAACCATCTGAGCACTCCAACTCCATGAACAGAACAGAAGATACTTCGTAGAGTGGTGCGGACGGCGGAGAACATCATCGGGTCATCGCTCCCATCTGTTCAAGATCTATACCACTCACGTTGCCATAGCAGATCCATTAAGATCATAAAAGATCCTACACACCCAGCACATGGACTGTTTGAACTTCTGCCGTCTGGAAAACACCACCGCAGTATACACTGCAGAACAGCCAGATTTAACAGGAGTTTCTACCCCCAGGCCATCAGAATACTAAACTGTTAAATAACCTTTTGACCTTTTACTCTCCTACCTATTGTGCACTTTATAATCACTGATAGGTCTCAAGTTTTCATTCTACTTATATAGTGCAATAACTAATTCACTGTGAAACGTAGTGCAATAATTTTTAATACTATATATCACCTACAGAATATATTCGTGTATATATATTTATTGTTTGTACTTTGCTGCTTTTTCTTGCCATGCTGTCTTAACTACCTCTGTAAAGTGAAAT